TGAGGCCTGATTCTGCGCGTTTATGTGTGGTCCAACAACAAACGAGTTTGAACATTGCACGCGGATTGCCCCCGTGACAGTATGGCTCTCAGTTGTCCTTGCTTTGGTGCTTCGCCATTTCTGCTGGTCAACCCCATTTTTGTACCAATCTCGAACAGGATTTCCGACGAATGCAGCTTCATTTACATGTAATTTACACAGCTAGTTTTTCTGTGACATACATTTTATCATCACTGCCTTCGTCATGGGATCATTTCCCGCCACTACACGCCAGAAGGGTGTAGATAAACGTGGAATTTCGGCATGGTTGGGTGCTGACTTCTGGTAAGAAATTTTGCCTCTCTGACCAGGCATACACCTTCACATAACTCAAGTGATTATGTTTTTTTTTTTCATCGTGTCGGCACCTCTCTTGTCGTCAATATGCGCTATCGTTTACGTTTCTGCGGGTCATACAGCCGAAGTTACAGCTCAAGGCGTGTTTTCACAATTTGCTCCTGAATACTATGTGCCACCGTAATAGAGATAGATGAAGGTTCTGTCGTTGACACGCTTGTCCACGACCACGTTGATGGGAACGTTGCTTGTTATTGCTGAGAGACGAAAAGCAAAGGTCTGGCATGAAGTGGGGATCCAACTTCATCTCAGGGGGGTACACAGAGAAGACAATTCTAAGGGGGTAGGGTTCAGAAGGGTATACCTCCTGACCGACCCGCATCCTATCTTGTACCCTATTCATGCGAGCAGCCACACTCCTTAACACCCTGAATATCATATATGCAGATCCTATACTCAAATCAATGTTCAAATCCTAGTCTAAAGTATAATCAAGTTTACTTTTTCTACTGCGCGCCGAGAACACTCTTGGCTGTAGCTTGCGCCGCAGCAGCCTGGGCTAGGCCAATGACACCCTCTGAGGGTGCGCTGATCATGCTCTCCCTCTAGTCGCCTAGGTGATGTCGTACGCCAAACAGCGTACAGGCACGGCGAGCACGGACGAGCACACGGCTAGGGGCACCCAGACGCACAATACCCCTCCCTATACAGACACAGTGCCATAGATGTAGGAATTAGAATAGCGTGGTTTTATCTAGGACATAATATGGCGTACCCTCCCCCCTGCCCCGAATCCTCCCAAAGAAGCGAGTACCTAGGTGTGCAAGAATTGTTTTTTCGCTCACCCTTGGTACATTCAATTTTTTTCACTGCCTTCATTCTAGTGACGCTCAACCGACGAAGCCCACGGCAACAGGCCATGGTATGCGCTGTCAAAATATCATGAGGAAGGTACATCTCTCACATCGCTGAAAAAAAGGATGACACGGATTCATGGGGCTTCGGGATATTGATAGGCAACGGGATATTGAACATGAGTAACAGGGGCCACAGCAGCCGCGGGACGCCCGTTGTCTGTGGGCCTAGAGCCACCAGGAAGAGTCCGTACGGCGTCGTCGGCAGAAGAAGTCGAACGTCTCCCAGCGCCGGTCTTCAAGCGGCCAGTTTTGAACAGGACAGCTGCGATGACGGCGACAATCGCCAGCACACCCGCCACCGTACCTCCAACGATGGCCCCCAGCTGAGCTGCTTGTTCGGCCAGGGATGCGAAACAGGTGCGAAATTTCCGAAAACGAGCTGGATGCTGATGGGTGCAGACTGTGATAATTCACGCGAAGAGTACCTGTACTCGGCGTTGCTTGTCTGGAGCTTTTTACTTGTCGCATCAAGTTCCAGATGCGTAGCAGTATCGATAGACAGAGTACATGCTCTCAACGGCGGCTTGGCTGCACTGCATCCGCACACATGGGTAGTCCTGAGATGAAAGATGAAAAAAAAAAGGGGGACTACCGACATTAACAAGAATTTAAGCGGAACACGCATACTAATGCATGGACGAAAGTGACCTTCTCCGCGAAACCAACAAATAAAAAGTGTTCATCAGTCATTCCGTAATTGAACGCGTATCGTGAAAAAAAAATGCGAGGGCTACGCACGCGGGGGTCTATCGCCCCCCCAGTCCTCCGATCTCCTTTCGGAATGTGAAGTTTAGCAGGTGGTTTGGCAAAAACTGCGTACCAAGCAAAGGCGTTGCCATACAGTGCCGGCCCGCACTTAAGAACCTCCTATATTGGGCGAGGCTCAGTTCTTATTGGCTGCCCCAACCCGAGCACCAGTTCTTATTTGCCAAGTTCTTATTTCGTCGTCCATTCTTCTCCAGAACGGGGCGTTCTTGTTCTTGCAGTATTTTAACATCATTTGCTCTATTGTCGGCTGTCAACCATGAGCAACACTAGTACTGCTGTCGATACAAGAAAATACCAAGGCATGGGGCAGCAACTGTCAACCTTCTTGGTCCACAAGGGTGACGTTGGTCCTGCGTACCCTTCCCGATCTACTAATGCTCTCAAGCAAAACCCAGGAGCCTACAGCCGTATCCGAATCTCCGCTGTACTTGTCTAAGGGCAACTTCATCTTGCGCGTACTCTGGTCTAGCTCCAGCTGCACACAGTAGTCGTACAGGTGGCGAGTGTCCTTCTGAGATTGTTGAGTAATCAGCCCTCCAAAACATCCCATGCCCAGCCTAACGAGCACTCCACGCCGCAAAAGCAATCTGTCAAGAGCAACGGGTTTAGCTTCTTGAATACGAAAGCCTGCCGGGATCTCCATTCCCTGAATCTCATCCTCCGGGTCTTGTGGGTCCATGCTGTCGTCGTCGTCCAGAAGAGCTAGCTCGAAGGGTCTGGGGTTGAGAGATGTCTGCGAACGAGGCAACGGGAAACACAAGAAGTTAGGGTGTCACGTCGCCAAACTCAACCTGAACTTATCATAATTTGAGTGNTTGGGGAGCTCACCCCGCCCGCGCATCACGCTTTCTCGGGGGCACCCAGGGGCACGACGCGTGCGTTCAATGCCCACCCTCCCCCTCTATAAAAATACAAAGGTTGATATGTGGGGTATGTTCCCAAATCCAATACTCTGTACTCTGGGATCACTCCCCCCTCCTCCCGCCCTCCCCCTGCGAGTATTCTTATCTGGCAGCCGCTGCATTGCTGTCGTTCTTATTTGTAGCAGCAGTTTTGCACCTCAGGTGTGTGTTCTTGTTCCTAACAGGGCGTGCAGCTGAGCACGTGTTCTTTTTAGTAAATTCTTGAGTTTTGTATTTTTTGAGCATCAAATTCTTAAGTGCCATATTCTTAAGTGCGGGCCGGCACTATAGACCAATAGGATTGTCAGAACCATTCCATCTTGAAAAAAGTGCTGTGGTTGCGGTTCGCGTGAAGCAGCTGGTGTGCTCGAGATTCTCTTTTTTCCTTGCGTCATTTGCAACAATACGTTTCATCGTCTATCAACTGTCAGGGAAGTGTATCCCTCTCGGCGGCTGCGCCATACTACAAGAGAGAGCTCCTCCACCGCCTTCGTTTGTTTCTGCTGCCGAACGACTGGTAGATTTTGAGGCCCTACCGCATGCTTGACCCTGTAGGAGAGGAGGGAGGAGGAAACCCCTAGCACGAAATGCCCCGCGTCGTCTACCTCGACGGCGACGGCAGCAATTGACATGGTGACCGACCAGCCTCGTACCTCCCTGCGAAGAGCCATACGCCCGTGCAATATGCCCGCAATTGGGACATGGCCTTGTAGAGACGCTCGGAGGTTAATGCGGCTACGCAGCAGCGACTTGGTTGTCGGCGAAGTAGGGTTCGAAGACTCCCTGTGTCGACACTATCTATGCTTTCTTAGCAGAAGGTCCGTACCTTCTGAATCTGGGTCGTTGTCGTCGCCATCATCACCCAAAGTTTCTGTGGAGTTCGACCCTGCGGTGGGAGGAGAGGTATTCGAAGCATACGTCGAACGCGAGTCGAGCCCGGGTGGTGGTAGGGGAATTGGTGTGGGTGCGCCACAATCACTAGTATATGGGGTTGTCGGACCAAAGCATACGAGAGAATACCACAAACAGGACCCCTCTGTTTCACCTCGTCGACGAACACTATATCAGTGGTGGAGACCAGCGAGAGGTGTGGTTGTATGAATGCCCACGTCAAAAGCCGGAATCTTGTGGATAGCAAATGTTGACAAGTACGATGACCACTAGACCACTAGTCAGCGCTAGTGGTCATCGTGCTTCTCAACAAAAGTTAGTGCCTGAGTCCGTCAAGTTTTTTGCCACGCACACGTCCACAGCCATCCCTGTGATCAGCGCTGTGCTTGGCAGATCCATACAGGCCATAGCGCATTTTGTGAAACCCAGCTCTTCAGACTTTCAATTCCCATATATCAGGCGCAACAAATATCATTTCATTACGGAGATTGAAGCCCCGGACACTATTAGACTATAGCTTATTGTGAAAGTCACGATGATAACTAGACCACTAGTCAGCGCTGACTGGTTGTGTAGTGGTTGTCGTACTTTTCAAAAGCAACCCCTATTGAGTTGGAGCACCAGAAGCACACTGTGCGCGACGTACCTGAAGGCGTTGTAGGCGCTGGAGTTGGAGCTGGAGTTGGAGCAATACCTGGCGAAACAGAGGTAAATGCGCAGCGCAGGACGTTGTTGAAACTCCCTCATAGTAATGAAGCCACCCTGACACCACCGCCTCGGCGACCGGTGGGTAGAGTTAAGAAAAGACAACACGTGTAACACAAGGCGAAAGGAGAGAGAGGGGGCCTCGGAAAAAATCTCTCGATCGCTTTCGCTTCTACAGGTCCCCAGAGGCTGTAGATTTCGAGGCCACCCGAAGCAAAGACCCCATACATAGAGAGGGCGCCTGCTGAGCTTCCCATTGGGGCGATATGACGGCAGTCACGCACCGTGAGGATTGGATCATTTGAGGGGCGAAACAACGACATACATAGAGAGGGCGCCTGCTGAGCTTCCCATTGGGGCGATATGACGGCAGTCACGCACCGTGAGGATTGGATCATTTGAGGGGCGAAACAACGGGTCATTGGACATACATACCGAGTCTGGGGCTTGGAATAGGACTGGGATGGCGGGGGTGTGCAGTAATACCAAGAGTAGATTGCCCTCGAGTGCCAGGGATTTGGCAGTACGTGCAAGTAGCAGCAGTAGCACAAGTATCCTTTGTAATGCTCTGTCGGAAACACAGCACACTTTGGAATTAGGTCCCACGCATATAGCAGCAGACAGCAGTGTTTTTTCTACAAAGTTGGCGCGAAGTAACCACTGGGTAGGTTCGGAGAAACTCAATACTGAAAGTTACACCATTCATCGCATATCGGGGGGTTGCTCTGACATGTTGCTTTTGGTTCTCTGAGGTTGTTTATTGTTGAAATGCTTCAGAGCAGAGGCAGGCGAAGCACCTCTGTCTCTCACTCCCATCGGCTACCGCCATCTAATAAAGAATATTGGCCCAGAGCCACCAGTAAACAATATTTTGGTTTCCAACACCTCACACACATACACCAGCTTGCAAAACCAGGCTGTGTACTGGCCTCAGTGTCTGTCAAGGTCTACACATCAGACTGAGGAAAACGTCAAAACATCAACATGCGTCGCCTGCAGAAAGAACGAAAGCTCGTTTCCCCGACATCGATAGGATAAGTCGAGAAATGAGCAAAAACAATAACGAAAGCCACCGCGTCTCACCATTGACCTGGAGATTTGTTACCGTGCTTGACTTCCCTGGCTCCAGAGAGTAAGAGTAGTTTTCTGCCAAGTCGAATTGATTGAATGACAGGGCGTCGGCGCACCTACCGAGCAGAAATAGACCGTCAAAATGCTTCAGAGTTGGCGTTGGAGGCAGCGACCCATTCACGCTGGTTGGGCCTATTCGAGGTATACATACAGATCGCCGAGGGGTCACGAAGATGCGCAGCCCTAGTAGTGGAGATTTGAAGGCAAAGCTGTGATGTGAAAATCTCCACAACATGTTGCAGCCTCAGATCTGGACACGAACTACAGTACTTCATGGAGCCACCGCAACAAAGATCACCAGCCGTGTTTGCTTTTTCCAAAACGAGTTGCGATTGTGCAAGGAGCTCACCACACGTCACTGCCAGAAGCCAAGAATTGCATCGCTGCGGGGTTGAAGTCCAGCTGCACCGGAAAGGTTGTCATCCCACTGCCGAAAGCCGTCAACGTCTGCGTCACTACATCTGCCGTGCTGCATGACTTGTCCGGGCAATAGGAGACTGTAACCGGTGTGGTGTCCACACCATCGCAACCCTGCACCTTCAGCTCATACTCGTAGTCAGCTACGAGGTGGGGAGCGGCAAGCGATGCGGGAAGAGGGTTTACACGTGAGCCTTTTGTGAGACGCCGTCGCTGTAAGGATTATTCAGTGTATCCTTTCTGTGGGCCTCAACCCAACCCCGTGCACAACATCGAGTTTATCCGGCAAAGCCACCAGAGCCAACATTCTGAAGAAGTGAGAAACAGGATAACTCGCTATCGATGCACCCAGGACAACATTTGGGGGGAAGCGCCACGAGCTGAGGTTGCGCTTCCAGTCCCGCTGGAAGCCAATCTATAAATTCGACCCCGTGCTGATCTTTGTCCACACCATCCCAACCTGCTTGGACTCACCGTCTCCTTGAAGATTGAAGATTCGCCACTCTTCCAGGCACGGGTAGACAAGGTTTTCCTCGAAGTATTCATTGTCCTCGTCAGTGTAGTCCAGGAGCCCACCAACGCAATTGCCCGTGTTTCCGTCCGAAATGTCGAAGTAAAGTACTGTAGTGGGCGCCAACATGTCGACTCCCTGCCATTGGATCCCGTTCACGCACCTGTACACGGAAACAACAACGAAAACGCACCTGTATTCGTGGAATATCCAGCTGGCTATATCGACAACGTCGAGAGGGCGCATGAAAAGCTCTCGCGCATCACTCGACCTCCATCCCTTCCTTCTAGAGAACAAGATGAAAACCATTTAAATAAGAGCTTATTTGTCGTTGAACCTCCGTCATCCATGCTGTACAATCGGTGTTCCCGTTCAGAAGCCCCAGCATAAAGGTCATTTTGCAAAGGCTTCTGAAAAGTGAGGGTTCGTCTGACGGGAGATGCACCGTGAGACCCTACAGTAGTTTCCATTGACTATGGGAACTCAAGGACAACATTGGACCATTCATGTTGATAGGTGCGCTGCTTGTGAACATTCAATCTCGACAAGGACGGTTGTTGTTTCGGAGGAGAGAGGTGCCTACGATGTAAATGAATGATTCAGCTGTTTTACTTCCAGGCAGCTTGGGATTCGGACTGAAATTTCAATTCAAGTAGGGCAGTCACATTTTCCAAGCGGACTCCAACAAACGCACCAGCCGTCGTTCCCAACTGGCTTCGAAATAACCAGAGTCGTGGGTTCCACGTCATCGAGGAAGACCAGGTCTCTAATTTCGCCATGCCCAAACACCGCTTCCGTCTCTGGGCTGTCCGCCATAGCGCAATACGGCCCACCAGAGCACGTGTAGAAGTTGATCGTGTCCGCCGAGCCGGTGGCGGACGAGCCATTGAAGTCGCATGTCGTGATGGTCAACACGAAGTCATCTGGGTTCGGAGAAATGCAACGCATGATTTCTCGCTCGTTTCAGGGAAAAAATATGGAAAAAGAGGAACGAATCTCAAGCGTCATTTTCATCCAAATGTGATCTACTTCCAAGTGCGTGCCGGCGCTGGAGCCACGAGGTCCGCTTTAGGACTTGGACACAATAGCTGCTGGCTTCAGTACGTTTGAAAATATCCGATGGGGCTCATTTTCGACCTGTCTCTGTAGGTAAATTGCGTTTGACTTCCACGGTACCTACAAACATCCCCGCTGAGGGCGTGGATGGTTGGTTCCAACGGGTGAGGAAGTTTCGACAAAAAATGCTTGTCGTCCTCCTGTCTAGACGTTCAGACCTCCACAAACCTTCACCGACGTCGGTGGTGGTGATACCGTGTGCGGAGCTGCCCAACAAGGCGAGGACAAAGGCCGTTTGCCCACCCCTAGACATGATCATCAACCCCCGAGCCCGCTGTGCAACGATTGGGTCGGGAAACGACGGACGCAAGGCGCGAGGGCAAAGCACTTGGAACAGGGCCGAACAATTATAAGAAGGATGTGCACTGCATACTGTTGACCGGGGAAATAAAAAACAGCACATGGCACGCACGCCAGCCAGGTGATTGAAGAGGACCAGCTCGACGAGGAAATTGCGCACATAATCAATCCGGTACTACTTCATGTCAGGATTTTCCTCCCCCCAAACGCCCCCCCCCCTCGGTGTTTGCCATCGGGGTTGGGTTTTCGTCGCTTGGCAACGACGTTGTAAAACAAGCCAATTCACTTCGTGAACTCGGCAACCAGGGTTCGTTTTTTTTTTACCTCCGTTTTTTTTTTTGGCGGTAACCATAGTGGTGGTCGAGTAGATCATGTTGTGCGGGGTGGAGAACCCTCACTCCGCGCAAGGGGAATGATCGCACCACGTTGTGTTAAAATGGTCAAGCACCCTCGAGGCAGTTACACAGTGCTTACAACTGTCTCTGGAAGTGAAAGCACCAGAAAAAAAATAAGTCATACGCAGCTGCCATACGTACGCAAGG